TAAAATCATTTAATTTTATTATTATGTATTGTTAAGTTACGATCGCCGGTTGTACTACTCTATCTATCCTGAAATGATTGTCCAAATTGAAATTTCACTTTTAAAACTCAATGTGGACTATTTTTCTTAGACATAGGGAATAAAAATAATACCAAAAATGAAAATGCAAACTGGATAATCATATTGGAACAGGAGTAATATGTCTTTGTGTTTGTAACCTTCACGTTCTAAAAATATTGTAAGTGATTTTCTCGTTCTGCCCTATTATTAATTATGTTCTGTATTGATGTAATCTTAAAATTGTAACATTATCGGAGTATAAGGTAATTATATTCAGAAAGAATTCCATTGGTTGCTTTCTCTTACTTTTTGGGATGGTACTAATGAGGTGGAGTAGCTCGTTGTTTTTCATTTCCCAAAAAAAGTCGTTGTTTTTTGGTGGTGCAAAAGGCCAACAAAGAAATGATGGCACCAAATTAGTTGGGAAAGAAGGGCAGTCTTTGAAAACAGACACGCGCCATGGGGAAGACTGAAAAACACGACCGGAAGGGGACGTTTGTTGCGGCCAGTTTAGGATTTAGGGTTTAGGGTAGTAATAATGACTAGATTCTTGCCGGGCACCTCGCTTAATAAATTGATATATAACTAATATATTATACTATAACCAAAAAAAAAAAACATCACAGATTAGATATTTAATCATGACTAAATAGTGATAATGAAAAAAAATTCAAACATAGATAACCATACATGGCGGCGGTTTGCTGGAATCTCACCGGAATCAGTTTTTGTGTTTGAAATGATCAAAATACATGACAAACGTAACATTCTCAATTTCGGATAACGAAAAGCTACAACATGAATCCCTCAACATGAACCCCTCAATCTTCTTCCTTACCCTTAATGGGTTCCCAACTTTCTCTTGGCTACCACCTGAAAAAATAGAGGTAAATAATTAGGCACCTATGTCACAAAGAAAGGGTTCCATAATACCAAACATACTCCTGAACAGATTTTCACTGTTTTCTCCCCTAGAGACCAGTGCCTCAACTGCAACACTGCAAAGAAAACCATACAGTACCTGAGAGTTTGAGTCAGCATAAATTTTTAGTTTGAGTCAGCATAAATTTTTAAACAACCTGTCAACAGTAGATCTGCTAAAATCAAAGAATGCTTAAATTTACTTTGAATATGAGGATCTCAAGGGCGAACTCTCCATCAACCAACTCTTTATCCACCACTGCCATAATTCAACTATGAAATCAAAAAATCCACTTTTTAAGAAGAACTTAGTTATCAAAACCCATCAAAAAAATAGATCAAAAGGTCTTTTAAAAAAGAGAAAAATTACCCAAAGATAACATAACTCAAACAAAAAACCTAAATCGTTACCTTTTTCTAACGACCGCCCTTTAAACTTCTTGTTCCGTCTGAATTCTTTATCCCCATCGCCGGATTTTCATTTATTTTGACAGCAGTTTCTTCCCTTTATAATAACGAACCGGTTTCGCAAACTCGAGCAGCTCCCATGGAGATTTGTGTGTTGAAATTTTTCTTTGGCGGCTTTGGCATCGTCCATCTATTTCAAAATACACTACTTGCGCCATTAAATCTGAATCGGTCACTCTAGGGGTTAGGTTGCCGATCCACAGATTGTTCGACAGCGGCGCTTCTGATACGGCAGAGAACAACGGTATTGTAAATTTAATAGGAGAAATAAGGAACATAAGAGGTAGTAAATTCTTTCTTCTGCTTCTGAAACTTGAATTTGATAAAGAAGAGTGAATTTGGCCAGAGATGAATGGAAGAGATAAGGCCGGTTCGGATTTGGTTCATAAGGTTGAAATAGATAAGCATTGATGTGCGGAGAGCGTTTTGAAATTCATGTTTCATTTGGGATGTTTAATTTGTGAAGATAATTGCATCAATCAAATTTGAGGGATTTTGGGATCTATATTGCATGATTTTAGGATTGTGGATTAGAGGTAAATATGGACGTGTTTTTTTTTGGGCACTTGATTCAACTGTTTTTCTATGTATTTTTCTAGTGATTTTAGGATTCGAAACTATAGGAAACGTATTTTAGGTAGCTGGAATTGTGGAGGCATTTATGGAGCTAAGACCTAAAAGTGAGGAGTATAAACAATATTTATTTTTGACGTGAAAGTGGGGCTAAAATTGGGGATTATTCCAATATATATTATTTTTTTTTACTACCTTTACATGACTTCTTTTCCTGAAATTCTAGAGTTCCACGTGTCAATTTTCATTTTGTAGTGAAAAAGACTTTTGGTGGGAAAATTTTCATTTGGACGCGTGAAACATTTAATAGGAGAATAAGAATCAGATCAGATTTACAATGATAGTTTTTTTTTTTAAAAAAAAATTGAACTCCTTAAACCGGGGAGTGTTAAAGGGGAACATTTGTTTCCAGGAATGTAAATTCCTTGAATTTGGGAGTCTTTAACGTTATCATCAGTATGTTATTGTATTTAACGGAATTCTTTTACATTTTTACAGTTCCAATGAAGCTTGTTTTTTTGGATCGGATTAAGGGGGGCCACGTGGCTTATATTTTCTGCAAAACATGAAGTTTTTTGGTTTAGGTGGGAAAAAATCTTTTGTGAAGCTGACACGCGTCCTAATTGTCATTTGCTTTCGTGAAGTGTAAAGGGATAGAAAGAAAAAACAGACAAGAAAAGTACTGTAACAGCCAAATTAACCTTTCAATGAATTGTGTGGATTGGCTTCTAGTACTAAATAAATCCAATGGTTCTAACTATTTATTCTCTCCGTCTTATAATTATTATCCACTTTAGATTTTTAATTATAGTTCAAATTGTACTAAAACTAAAGATATAAATTGGACAATAATTTGGGGACGGAGGGAGTATTTATTTATTCATTCATTTTTCACGTACCAGACAACCAAAATTGCGAAAACCTTTAACATGTGATTGGATAAAAATGAAAATTCATTTTCTCTGTGAACATAAAATGCACGTTTAATTACATAAGATAGAAATTCATTTTCTTTCTTTCTTATTATTATTATTATTTTTTTTTGGTAACATAATGATGTCTCTAGCATTGGCACAGGGGGGAGTGGGTGTGGGTCACTTTACTGCTTGGGGGACAAGAAAGTGAAAAACGTCAGTCTAGAGAGAGTATAAATCTGCCGGTGTTAGTCATTTTCAAGTTCAACACAAGTGTCTCATGTGCCACGTAATTACAATACAGCAAATGTGTATATTTTTGGGCAAATTAATATGATCCTTTTTCCCTCAAAACAATGGACATTTTTCCTCTTCTAACGATATTTATTCCTGTTCAACACAAGTATCTCAAGAATAACAATGTATGCGAGTAATTATTTAGAACGTCCGACGAAAAATCAATTGTTGTGTACCAAACAGATTTTGTTGAAGAACACTATTTAATGTGTCCCCGTTTCCGACTCCTCCATTTCTAGAATATAAAAAGAAAGAAAAAATAATAATATCAAAAAGCAACCTCAAACAGTGGCGGAACCAGAAAATTAATATTGGGGGTGCGAAATATAAACAAAATTAATATTAACATTAGGAAATCAATATAGGAAGTGCGAAAAATTATTCAACACATAATTTCTATTAAAAATTTAGAATATCTCTACTAAGTACAAAAAATTAAGCAAACCGCGCCCCTCCGTCCCCCCTAGCTCCGCCACTGGCCCCAAGCATTGCTTTGCTTGTGCATTGAACAAAAACTCACCCAAAAGAGCTGGGGTTTTTACACAGGTCGAATATTTTCACCAAAAGAATTCATATATATAAAGCTTTAATTTGCAAAATTGGCAGCAAATTTCAGGCACAAAAAAAAAAAGATTGATTACGAAATGAAATTCTGTTTTAAGAAAAAAAGAAAAAAGAAAAAAGAGGGATAGAATTTCATTGACGAGTGGGCCTAGGTCAACGCTTGAAGTTGACACGTATACATACTCCTACCACAACACATACAGTCACACTCACACACAACTGCAGGAGCCTAATCCCGAGATGGCAATGGATTTCAGTAGAAGAATTCTTGGCTAATGGATATCAAGTGTATGCTTTGTTTATTTAGATTAGTATTTTTGGAGTAAAAATTTAATTTCGGAAGTGCAGGTCCCACAAACACTACACTACAGCAATCACAAAGTTGATTCGCCAATTTGAACTGACCAGGAAAGCCCTAATTACTTTAGAATTGATATTATATTGAGGCCTGAGGCAGGGGTTTTGGCGCGCACAAGGTTTATAAATAAACAAAAAGGGCAACCAAAGGGGAGAGGGTCCTTGATTGAATCCAGGTTCAAGAAGCTTGGAGACTGACTGTATTAATAATTGGCTTGACAACAAGCTGTGAGGTATTGCTGGCCGGAAGTGGAGTTTCCGTTAACCGGAGGATAAAATCGGAGTTGCCGGAAGTAACAGAAAGGAGGTTGAGAAGAGAGGAGAAACAGAATCCGAGATGAGATAGGAAAGAAGATTCAAGAGGAAGAATCAATTCATTATTATTCTATGATTAGAATCATCATCACGAGGCTATTTAGTAATTATTACAGCCCCTTAGCTCAAAATAGTAACTAAAAACCAGAATTAGCAACTTCTACTATAAATGCAAAATGAATCAGATATTTTTTTTCTTTTGTAATAAATACCCCTAATAATTCAATTAAGTCCAACATTAAGGTAATCTTATTATCGAAATAACCCAAGATCGTGTGACACAAGCCTCCTGTCTCATCAACTTTGTATATCCCAATTGGAGCTATGCAGCCCAAATTAACAGTGAGCTGATATTGCAGTCAATTTATTGTTCGGGTTGCTTGGGCCAGATATTGTTAGCTCCGAAGAAGAGCCTGATCAATTGCGGCCTGATGGGTTCAAGGAAGGAATTGCCGATCCATTGGTGCTAAATAACTGAAGAGTACTATGGCGAATGCACTGGAGATATCAGGCGGCCAGACTGAAATATATTCAAAGGTGTGACGCGACTACGCCAATCTGCAAAATGCAAACCAATGTCATAAGGGTCAAAATATCAGCGTAAATGTCTTTTAAGGAAACCATAGGTGCAGAAACTGATTTCCGAAGTAACATTTAACATATTTAAAACTCTACTGACCCAAAATTTGAGTACTATTTGAAATTCTGTGTTCACAGAATCAAAAACAACACTCAAGTTTTGACAGGAAGGGCGTTTTCAAGGAAAATTTTTGAAGGTGCTTCACATAAATCCAATGTAAATCCTTTAAAAGAACACATATGAATGCAACTACCTTGTTGATTTCAAGAGGGTCAGAACATAATTCATCAACAACATGCCATTTGATCAGCTCTTCCTTGATTTGTGACACTTCAGCTATGGCATACAAGAAAGTGAACTCCTTTTGTTCATTCATTGCCTTCAACAATAAAATGTAATAGACCTTGCCGTCGACTTCTTCTTTGCTTGCATGCAGCACCTCCTTAAGACACGTTTCTTTACCCTGCAAGAAAACCAGCTTAAACTCTGTAGTCTGTACTAGTCACATGAAGTTAAAATGGACAAAGAGGTACGCAGAGGGCGGGGACTGACCATCTGTTTATTGAGCCTTTTCAGTGCAGATAAAGCATGGTTGACAATCTTTCCACAATCAACCATCTCATAAATAGGCGTCACATGAGGACCTCTAGTATCAACTTCAATTTCATTATATGAAGACGAAGAACAGGGAGCAGTAACATATGATCTTTCTGTTGCATCTCTAGTAATCAAGACAGGAAACAGTAGTTCTTAAAAGCCTAGAGCAGTATTAAACAACCAATAAGAATAGAAAATGAATTGAACAACATGACCGTATTATATTTAAGACTGAAAAGAAAAAGAATATTACAAGTACTGTCCAGACATCAACAGAAACTCGCAATCAACAATAGACTCAATAAACACAATGAAAGATCAGGATCACAAAATGAGATCAAAATTGACAATTTAGCCCTCTATGCATAGTTGCTCTGTTTTTGGTTATAAACCTCCCCTAAACCAGGATTTAATTTATAGAGATATCAAACTCCATAAGTTTAATACCTCATGATATATCATATTCTCCACAAAATGGTCCTTACCAAGTATATTTCTAAAAGGCATTCTAGAATGTTAAACTGTGAAAAATGGTTCGTAGATAAATTAAAGGCAAGCTGGCAAGTACAACTATATAACCATGAGGAAGAAAGTCGATATTCTTATCATCATCAGCCAAAACCACACATGGAAGAATTTCAACTTGTAGGTTCATATGTTGGTCATAATTTCCACGTGGGACATGAATTTGCAAAACGAAATTATATAGGCGTCAGACAGTCAACGAACAGAAAAGATTATTACTTGTCCGGATATCGTAATGGAGCGTAACTACGAGTAAGACACATTGCACAGGGATAAATGTAAACAAGGGATACAAAAACATAGCAACGCACATGCAAGGTTCTAAAACACAGGCACAAGGGTGCTGTTCTCACTCACCCAAAGGTCCCGTTATGATAATCCAGAGTCAGGGAAGCTAGCCAAGCTCTTGGCCTGTGGAACAAAAAATTCCAATTATTGTGAAGCCATGTGCATCATAAAACTCAGGGTAAGCATACAAGCAATCATATCCAAACTAAAACTTGTCAGGGACAATAATCTATGGAAAACAGAAAAGATGTAATTTTTGTAATGAATCTTTAGAAAAGGCTCATTATACATTTCCAACAACGATTATATTTCAACAATTAAGTTGTACACAGGATGACTTCATAGCAGTGGCCCAAACTTACAAATGTTTAGGGTGGTACAGTTTATGATGAAAAGCAAGTTGCCCTATGCCGTTCACGAATCATGGCCGTAAGAAACTTTATAGGAATTTCTAATTATCTTTAGCCAAACAACATAAAGAAGAAATTAACTTTCTATCACAAATGTGCTGCAGAAAATAGATACCCTCAATTCATAGGGACCATGAGAACATGAAAAAAAATTTATAATAGAAAGGCAGGCCAGATGACTATTCTTATCCACAAAATAGAACTGCTCCAGATGCCGGAAGCTGATCACAACTTCTTGCAAAGATTGGTCAGTATATCTGATCAAGTTCACATATAACAATTTCAGTGGTGACTTCTGCATATGCTTGCAATGGATGAGAAACTAAACCAGTAATTTATACAAGGCATATTTCTTCTTACAATTCATTAGTCCTAAAATGTCTGCTGCCAAGCTTGTCTACAGCAGAGCAACTTAGTCCAGTCCAACAGAAGATATGGCAACCCAATTTTAAACCTCTATAGCAGGCCTCGTAAATTGCAAAATATTCCTCCCTCCTTCCCCAAAAGCAACCAAAAAACTAGTGCTTTGATTGCCAAACACCAATCAACTCTCTCTAACTTTTCATTTTGACATCTGATCCAAACCCAACCCTAAAAGCCTAAGCTTCACTTTGAAAGTTTCATATCAAAATTCCTTCTGTCATCTTTCTCCATAAGCGTTTAAACATAAATAAACCATCTCAAAACTGCAAACCTTTTCTACCCACCACATGCAAGTGGCCTAACTTTAACCAGAAAATGTCATATCAAAATTCCTTCTGTGAGCTATCTACATGAGCGTTTAAACATAGTTTAACCATCCAAAAACAGCATTTTTTTTTTCTATCAAACACATGAAAAAACGCATTATGTCGAACCCTAGTTTGCACGCAAAAAAGAGGTAGTCTTCTACCTTTAAAAAGTTAATGACTAATTCACAACTAGGTAGAGAAAAAATGAGGGGAAAAACAGCATTTGACATTAAAGAATTTAATATATGAAGAAGAGATGATCAAGCATTGCCAGATAATAATATGGGGTACATGAGAAGTATAAACATCACTTACATGTTTCTATAGCCTTCAACATTGTGGCGAAACTTTTCTGCAATATTCCGGACCACACTGACAGAAAAGGAAAAAATCCGACAACTTCATTAATCCAAGAACATCTTTTTGTTGGTTAGTTTTTCTTGTTCTTTTTCTTTTTTTTTTGGATAAGGATCTAATAAATGAAACAGATATAAAAACAAAAATCAAAAGTTTCTTAAGAATTGATATATTTTATGCTCGAATTAAATGTTAAACTTCACTTGGCCTCCAAAAATCCACTCAAACCTGACCAAATTTTGTACTGTCCCTAAAAGCGCTGGTGCCCACGCTATCTTTGGATCAGGTTTCTGACAGTAATGACTAATGTTTTCTTTCTAATAAAGACACAAATCAGTCTGAATCTATACTTTTTTCAATTCTTTTTAGTAGATATTAGAATCTCATTCAGATAGATGTGTGCAAAGGATGAATCTAGCAACAGATAGTTTTCAAATTTCATGGTGTAGTAAGACAGCAAAGAAAGCAATAGACTGCTCTTTCATATGAGGTGACATTCGAGTTCTGGCATGTTTCTTGGGAAAGTGTAGCAAGGTAAGCTACATGAGCTAATTCTATATCAAGAAAGATTTAATTTAGAAGCACATGCAGAAGTATAAGTAAGAGTAAAATAATATTCAAGGAGAAAATATAACTTTGCAAGTGAAACATTTGCAAAACTGTTGTAACAAAGAAAAGAAAGAAAAGGGCCTCCATCCAAATGAAATATAATAACTGCACATAGTTCAAGGAAATACACCATAGTCCCATTCCTCTCGAAAAAATAACACAGAACCACCGAATTTCCCTCAATTCTTTCCAAAACCAACCTTTAAGCATTTGAGAACACAAAACCAATCTTTGATGAAATTTTTGGTAAGAACAAAAGGAATTGTTATAATTAGAGAACTCCAGTCCAACCAACCTTACCTTGTTTCCCAGTAAGGGTAAGAAAAGGACTCATCGACCAGCCGCCACTTGAGCAACTGCTTCCTCGTATCAAAAGCATAAACTTCCGCATAATAAACATTTAAGTCGCCATTCTCGTCAATCCCCTCCATTGTTAGGTAATAGTGATACTTATACCAATTAAACAGTCTGTAGCTAGCTCTGACCACCCTTACAAACCGGGTATTCCGATCCTGAGACCATCACTCGCTTATTAGGGCTCGATTAATGCACTACCGGTGAAAAAAATGAGGAAGTAAAAAAAAAAAACAGTTTTTGAGGAAGAAGAAGAATAAAAAACCACCTCGGCGGTATTGTGCATCGTCACTGCAAATTCAGCCGCCGGCAAGACAGACTCAATATCCATTTCAAAGATATGACGACCTCCGGTTACCTTACGATCACCAACAATCGACAATGACGGAGCAGGTGGTAAAAAGTAGTGTCTGCGGCATGATTTATGATGATTAATCGCGGCAATATACGGCAAACAGCCGTAGCGATTCTCGGCAAGGATGGTCCCAACACGACGAAGTTGAGGATGTCGCCGGGACCATCCCAATGGTTTGGCTCTGTTCAGGACACCACCTACCAAGGTCATCCTTCCCGACTTGGCTGTGACTAAGATTTTTAAAGGCTATATAGTATACTGATATACAGTCCTACAGAGTTTTGATTTGGAGTTTTTTGGGGATTAATATGAAAACTGAAAAGGACGAACCTCACTTTTGGTCCCCAAAAGTTTGGAGGGTAGCCAAATGCAGTCTTCAAAAATTGTTCTTCAACGAAATTAGTCACCTAATTTTTTTTTTCACCAATTTTAATCAATTTAATGAAATTTTTAGTTAACTAAGGGTCAACTAGATGTTTGGCCCATGCAGATGCCCGGACGCCCCTTCTAAATTACTATTTTATTAAAATCTAATTGAATTACTATTTTTTGAAGAATTAATTTGGCGTATATATCATTTATGCTATGATTTGGGGCTTAAAAAAATATACCTATAAATCTGAGGTTATAAGGAATAACAAATAATTAGTTTATAAGGCATTATTCTTAATTTCTGGATTTAGGTATTTTTATTTTTTGTTTATATTAAGCTGCAAAACTATATGATTGGACATTTGAATTTGAATTAATATATACATTCGTTTGAAATGTAACTGATCCTTATTTGTAGTAAAACATGTGTTTTTTTTTTTAAAAAAAAATTATATAACTTCTAATTAAAAGAGACTTACACGTGGCAAAAAGATTCATGAAATCTGAAATATGGTGCATTGGAGCCAAAACAGATGCATACTTAGTTGCCACATAAGCTTCATGTCTTCTGCTTTAATAGGGTAAAAGGGATTCTTTTTTTTTTTCTCCCTTGGTTAAGTTTTGATTTTTTTATTATTAATATTTTACTGAATTGGGATCTGCTGGTTTGATCCAACAAAAAAAATTTCTTTTTTTTTTCATTTCCATTTTATTAAAATTATCTATTATTATAATAATAATGAAAAAAGTGACCCTGGGTCCACAAATTACTCAATAATCTTTTTCTTTTCTTTCTTTTATTGTTTGTTATTTTTCTTAATTAAAAAAAATGTTGACAGATAAATTGAAAAATCATAGTGATTTTAGTATAATAATTGACACAATCGCTCATTGGTTAACTTTTAAGAGGTACTAGTTATTATTATAACATAAACTACTAACTAGATGGGCGCCCCCTTATTTTATTTTATTGAGTGTAATGAATTACAAAAAGTTGATTACAAATGAGTCACTGCACCAAAGCCGATATGATCTTTCACCAAAGTTACTGAGTTACATAATAAATGAAATTTATGATAAATTAGAATATCTTATTATAAAGACATGATAGAATACAAATGAAATTATGAGAAAATAAAAAAAGTGGCTAAAATACGTCTTTGCCTCTATGATAGGTTCAATGAATGTTTTTTTCAAACCCTGACATAATAAAAAATATATTTACTTTTAAATTCAAAATTCACTTTTCATAAACCTCAATCACTAAATTTTATAAGATCATGATTAACTCATCGCCCAAACCATCATTACTACCATTTGCATCACTAACGACTGAACTTGTAGTCATCATCAATGAGAGTGGAAACAAACACTTTGGCTGATGAGGTAGTTCCCTGACTTCATGGGTTTTCACTAATTTTGAAGACTTGTAAAATGTGAATTTGAAAATTAGAAATAAATATTTAATTTATTAAAGTCTGAAAAAAAAATCACGAATGACTGTTTTGGCTAACTTCATAGGCATATATCAGTCACTTGTGGACCTTTTGATAATTGACTTGCAGGTTTATATGGATATTTTTTAAAAAAATAAGGGTATTTTGCTTAATCATATTTTGATATTAGGATGAATAAGTGGATATATTTCAATGTTTATACCCTGCTAGTGAATTCATTCCAAAGTTTTAGAATTGGTTACTTACAGCCCAAGGATATCAAAATTGAGCAAATCTATCTCGTGACCTGCAAAACAACAAAAATGACATGATATAACATGTAAAAATCTATTAGGTCTCATATTTATTCTTTTTTTTTCCTCTTTTTTTGGGGTCATTTTTTAGTTCATTAAAAAGAACAAAATTTCTAGATTAAAAAGATTCAAAAAAACTCACTTAATTAATTGAAATAATTTATGCATCACAAATGAAATAATTTAAAATTTTAGATAAACTCAAAATTAATTAATTTTTGAATACAAGATATATATATATATGTGTGTGTGTGTGTGTGTGTGTGTGTGGGGGGGGGGGGGAAGCATAATCATTCTATTTTTTCACACAAACTAAAGAATTTTTTTGGAAAGTTTCTTTAAGTTTTATCGAAAAATTAAGATTAATCTCATTATAAAATAAATTAGATTCATTACAAATAAAATAACGTTTTTAGTTTCTCTATTTATAAATTTTGTTTTTGTTTCAATAAACTAAAAAAGTTCAAAAAAATTTTTAAAAAAAAACAGAAGTAAAAATGTTAAATATGGTATCTAAATGAATTTACCTGTTATATCAGGTCACTTTTGTTGGTTTGTAGGTCATGGGACGGATCTGCTCAATTATGATAACCTTGGGACGTAATTAACTAATTCTAAAACTTTGGAATGAATTCGCTAGCAGGGTATAAAAGTTGGGATATATACACCAATATTCCCTTTGATATTAACTCCCCCCTTCCTTTTTTCCTTTTAATGTATGTATATTACAAATTCTTGATTACTCCCTCCGGTACATTTTGACTTATTTTAGTTTTCACTTATGATGTATTTTTAATTGGAAAAAAAAAATTTCTTGTTCTCTTAAACTAGGGGAAGGGGCTGCACGTTTTGCAACAAAAGGAGAGTGGTAGCCAAGTATTTTTCTCAAAATTTATTGTTAATATAAAGTAAAACTAACTAAAAATTGATTAGGATCAACGACAGATCTAGTTACTTATTGATTATCAACCTTGAAGAATTCCTTTCTGACATTTCCATTCGGGCATGAAGCGATTCGATCCTTCTTTCTTACTTTTGAGGCCAAGCAGGAAAATTTTGTACTCAGTATTGAGGATTGAGTAGTACAAACGAAATTCTTCAAACAAAAAGGGTTGGAAACAACTTCACATTATATTATCGATTTCACGGACGGATTAATATTCCAAAAGAGAGAGAGGGAGAGACAATTTCGGACATTATAAAGCTGCATTTTCTATTTCTGCCAATGCAACATGCGATAAAATGTGGAGAAAAACTTTATTGGATGAGTCTTCACAGATCCGAGTGCCCAAACCTGTCAACCACCATTCTTTCATGCCTAAATCCTGGCTGGTGTAGCCTCATGAACTGTTAGCCTGGATAGAAGTTTGAGGAATCAGAAGAAGAGTGCGTCCTCCCGACAAATACAGCGTAGGAGAGCCATTTTTCTGGATGAATCAAGTAAGTATTGTTTCCATTTGTGTCTACTATATAGCCCGAGACGTGTCCTCCCATCAGTGCAATGTGCATTGCTAGATTCCCAACACAATGCGCAACAACATGTACCTTGGTCGACGTCCCATTAAGCTCAATGATTTTATTGATTGCTGCAGAGGAACCCATGTAAATTACATATTCATCAATATTTTGCATTCAGGCATATTATAGGATCGTTTAATCATGATGACTGATAACTCATACCTGCAGACACATCAAATCTTCCAATGCCTTCTATGGATGCATATTTCGAAGAAGCTAATGGATGTAATCTTGATTGTAATAGCCAAGTTTCATCCCATCTTGCAGAAAAGTTATGATCAAATCTATCTTTTCAGTTGGCAAGCAGTAACTTTCATATGCATAACCATTTATAAAGAGAACAAGAAATGGTTTTATCCTTTCTTCATCCCTCTCTGATCCAAAATTACACTTCTACTGTCGACAAGTGATTCTACTTCCATCTTTTGTCAAAGTTGCAAGAATATTAAAAGATCAAAGCAAAGATTTCTATGTTCATGGAACTTATACTCTATATTGCATATGCTATTTGGTTCTTCATTAAAGCGGAATTCAATTTTAAGAAAGCAGGAAGTACCTGCTTCTATTTCATGCGGTGTGTCAATGGGATACTAAAAGTGATTCAAATCTGAAGCAGAGAAAACCTCATGATAACTCTGTAAATGGAAAAATTTAAGCTATCACGAAAGTGCAATAACCACAAAGAGCTTGCAAGATTTTTGCAAAGAAGGATATAACGATCTAATGTTTGATTGTTTTCCCTAAAGAATGTAACCAGGACCTTGGTATTGATTTTTTTGCCCATATAGATTGCAGCTGGAATTCAAATTTAAGTCCTCATAATAATTCGTACGATAATAATAATGTAGAAGCGTCTTTAGTACCCGAACCTGCGGAATGGGCACAACTCACTGAATAAAAACAAACACATGATGTGGAATCCAAACAATTACAATTTCAAGAATCTATGAGATTTCTACGTCTACACCATATACTTCCTCAACCTTAACAATGAAGGAAAATATCTCTCATAGTTTTTCATATTAACAGATTGAGTTTTCACGTATGAGCTTAGATTTAGCAAACAAACCGAATTTTTTTTGTATACATGAAAACATTCAAATCACAAACAGAATAAATTCCTAAGCACAACTCTATTTCCTAATCCCTGGGTTCAATTTATCACTTCCATTTCATAAACCCTTATATGCAAAGAAATAGAACAGAATTAATGTATCCCAACTCCCTAACAAGTTAGTTTCGTTGCTTTACTTTTCTGATCCACACAAAACACAACTAGTTTAATCTTTCACTTCAATTTAAAGCTAACCATAAAATAATCGATTGAGAAGAATCTAACTAAATTCAAAAGAGAAAACAAAGTAATGAAAAACCAACATCTAATTTCTTCTCGCAGCAAAAGCAATAATTGCCGATATCCTTATTTTTCCAATACGAAGGTGTTGGTTACAATCTTTGAGGAAAACAATCAAACATTTTATATGCATAAACGGTTTCCATTCGCCGCTCAGAAGGGAAGAGGAAAAAACCGAAGGAAAACGGAAAAATCAAAGAGCTTAGAGCATAATTA